TTGCTGATCTAGTTAACACCCATAAAAGGTGGAGAGTTGCAGATTCATGATCTTTAAAACCTATAGAAAGCTCAAGTGTTTGCTCATTGGCTGCATTTGGATTAGGCTGCTTTACAAGGATGCAGTGAAAATGCTTGTGTGCCGTCATGTAGGCTTGTGTTGCTACTTGTATGTATAAAAAGGTAAAGGTTCCATAGCTCGAAAGCCAGTCAAATCCGACTCTAGGGTTGAGGTGCTCATCTCCGTTTCAAAGCCGAAGAGCCAGCGCTGTCCGAAGACGTTTCCGTGGTCATGTGGCCGGCATGACTAAACACCAAGGCGCACGGAATGCTGTTACCTTCCCACTGAAGTGGTCCCTATTTATCTACTTGCTTTCGAACTGCTAGGTTGGCAGGAGCTGGAACTAGAGACAGGAGCTCGGGCCGGTCACATGCTCGATTTGATCTTCGCAACAGGGTTGATAGTGGACCGGATTACTGCAGAAGCGGTACCATGGTTGGGCCACTATGCACTGAAGGACCGTCTGAATGTGCCACCCCGACCCTGTTTAGGCAGCGAGCAGATTTTAGCTCGCCCGAGGAGCCAAATGGACCCAATACGGCTTCAGATGGCTCTACGGGATCTGAGTCCCCCTGGCGGCTCATTGGATGAGCTAGTGGAGGACTGGCATTGCTGACTCTCTGCAGCCATCGACGAGATCACTCTCAGGTGCCCTCTCCGCACCCGCTCCAGGCTGGTGCCCTGGTATACCCAGGAGCTACGGCTGATGAAGCGAGAACTGAGACGGTTAGAGAGACGGTGGCGCCGTGCTCGTGACGAGGCATCAAGAGCATCCTATAGGACGTTTATGAGATCCTATGAGATGGCAGTCAAGGACGCAAAGAGAGGATTATATGCGACCAGGATTGCATCTGCAAGCTCGCGCCCAGCCCACTTATTTAGAACAATTCGGCCTTTAACGGCTCTGCCACAGGGCAGGCGAAATGCTAGGGAATTGGATATTGGCTGTAAGGCATTTGCGAGCTATTTTGCAGATAAAGTCTTGGCGCTCCGCCACGACCTCCCCGCCACAATTGAAACAGTGAGTGAACTTGAGGCCCCTTGCACATCTTCGGTTCTGGGTTTAGAGTGTTTTGGCCTGCTCAGCCTGGAGGAAGTTGACAGATTGCTTGCATCGGTGCGCCCAACCACATGCAGCCTTGATCCGTGCCCCTCCTGGCTCATTAGAGCAGGTCACGACGGGTTGCAAGGTGCCCTCAGGGAAATTATCAACATGTCCCTCTCAGAGGGACGGTTCCCGGGAGCACTCAAGGAAGCAATGGTCCGCCCTCTCTTGAAAAAAACCTTCTTTGGACCCGGCTGAATTGGCCAACTATCGGCCGGTGTCCAATTTGCCCTATTTGAGCAAACTTATTGAGAGGGGCAGAGGGCAGTGGCTTTACAGCTGCAGGGCTTTCTGGATGATGCTTCCGTCCTAGATCCCATCCAGTCCGGCATCCGCCCGGGGCATGGGACAGAGACAGTACTGGTCGCTCTTACTGACGACTTCCGAAGGCATCTGGATCGAGGCGGTGTGGTGGCACTGGTGTTGTTAGATCTGTCGGCCGCGTTGGATATGGTCGACCACCAGTTGCTGACCCACTGCCTCGCCGACGTGGGGATTCAGGGGCTCGCCCTTCAATGGCTTGCCTCTTTTCTCCAAGGTCGGGGATAAAGGGTGGTGATAAGGGAACAGCAGTCCCGGAGACATCCTCTTGAATGTGGGGTGCCTCAAGGGGGCAGTGCTTTCCCTGTTGTTTAACATCTACATGCGCCCCCTTGCCCAGAGGTATGGGCTTGGGTGTCATCAATATGCAGATGACACCCAGTTCTATCTGATGTTGGGCGGCCGGTCGGGCTCCAGTCCAGAAGATCTGCACCGGGCTTTGCAGGCTGTGGCTGGTTGGCTCCGACTGAGTCGGCTGAAGCTAAACCTGGTGAAGACGGAGGTCCTGTGCCTGAGTCGGGGTGGTCTGGGGTTGGGGCTCCCTCTCCCGACCTTCAATGGGGTGCCTTTGGTGCCAGCGCCGGAGGTTAGGAGTTTAGAACAAGACCTGTGTTCTACTCACATTGAAGCTGCATAACTGGTGAAATCTAATTCAGTTCTCTGGCTCATGGTGAAAAGGATGCGTGTCCCCACTCCTTGCTGTTTGAAGATAACAAAAGGCCACGGGAAGAGAGCTGTAAACTCTAATCCCCGTGCCTCTCTGAGTGCCAGATGCTGTGGGATGTTTAACTAAAGACTTCAATTCCCAGGAGCCACTGCTCTTAAAGATATATATGGCAGTTCTACTTAACTACAGTTTAAACGCTGGCTGGGGCATCACACTGTCTTTTAGACAGCCCAGTCCCAAGCCGTGTAGAGCTTTAAAGGACAAAACCACCACTTTAGTTAGGCTCTGGAGTGGATCAGTAGCCAGTGTAATTGCTATAGTATTGGGGACATATGCTCCCAAATTAGCAAGCCCCAACCAGCATTCTAGCTGCAGCATTCTGTACTAGCTGCAGCTTCTGAACACTCTTCAAGGATAGCCCCAAGTAGAGCACATTGCAGTTGTCCAGCTTAGATGTAACTAAGGCATGGATCACCATGGCCAGATCTGACTGACTCAGGAACAGCTGCAGTTGGCGCACCCGCTGGAGCTGGACAATTGCACTCCAAGCCACAGTAGCCACCTGGTTCTAAGGTGACCCTGTATCAAGCAGCACTCTCAAGCTGTGAACTTGGCTTTTCAAGGGGACTATAACCCCATCTAAGACAGGGGAGATCTGAAGTTCATCTGCCTTTCTAGTAAATTTCATCTTGTTCACCCTCATGAAGCCCATTACTTTTTGGAAATATGTGTGTGTTGCAAGGTCTAATTCAGTCATTATAGGGTTAATCTGTTTATCTTGTGTGCTGTTGTTTAGACTGACCTGGAAGGGAAAGCTGGCACAGAGCCAAAGGGAAGAGAGCCCAGAAAATCTAAGTCTGTTTACTCACAATCGTTGGTTAATGTATTTAGGTGATTTCCTTCTAGGGGTCAAGAAGAAGAATCTCCACTGCTGCTGTTGTTGTGAGACCCTGTGGTCGGTCCGTTCAGGAGCTGTAGAGATGTAGCCTTAGGTCTTTGTTATTTTGTAGATTTTCCTATGTACCCTTCCCTTAGAAATAAAGATGTTTACAGAGAAAGAAATGCCTCCTCTCCAGTGAAGTAAAGATCCATTGCAAACTCTGAATATCTAAGTATTTTTGCCAATTTTCCAAACATTACTGACTCCAAGCAACATTAATAGCATCCTCAGACTTAGGTGGCAAACAAAGATAGAGCTGGGTATAATCCACATATTGGTGAAGTTGCAGCCCATACTTCTTGATAACCTATCCCAGTGGCTTCATACTAGGGTTGCCATGTCCCTTCTGGCCACTGGTAGGGGACGGGGAGGATATGGTTGCCAGGTCCAGGCTGGGAAACTCCTGGAGATTTGGGGATGGAGCGTGTGGAGGACAGAGACCTTAGTGGGGTACAATGCCATTAACTCCACCTTCCAAAGCATCCATTTTCTCCAGTGGAAGGGATCTCTGTAGTCTGGAGATGAGCTGTAATTTCAGGGACTCCCCGGGCCTTACCTGGAGGCCGGCATCCCTACTTCATACAGATACTAAATAGCATGATATAAGAGTGTTATATATATGTATGTAGGTTTCTAGGGCATGGTCATATTTTGAAAAGCAATACCATTATGGTATTGATGTCAGATGTAAATCCCATATTCAATTATACATGAACTAATGGTTACAGGAGAGTAGATTTCAGGCGAACCTTGGGAGGCTCCTCCTCACAATAACAACTGTCTGACAATGGAACCAATTGCCAGGGCAAAGGGCTTTCTCTTACCAGACCGCCATGTGCCTAGGATGATCTAATTTTAGATTTCCTACACTGGCAGTGCAGTTCTAAGCAGAGTTACACCCTTCCAAGTCGATTGAATGGAATGGAATTAGAAGGGTGTGACTCAGAACAGTATGGCACTGTGAGCTGCAGGGTGGACAAAAAAAGCCCAGTCTTTCTATAAATTTATTTAACTTATTTTCTTAATGCATTTCCTGAGTGAAAGCAATAGGGAGCTTATCTGGCACCAATCGATAAAGAGATCAGTGTGCTGTGTTTAATTACAATTGCTTCACATTCTTATACATGAATCCTGAGAGAACAAGCAGTATAATCAAAGTGTATTTTTCCACAGCAAACTGATCTGGCAGCGTCTTATGGTATGACCTTTTCCATGTTATAAAAGTGAGTTGAAGGGCAGAGAGGTAAACATTCCACAACCGGCCAGCATGCAAAGCTGGCAGCTTAAGGCACTTTTGCACATATTAGGAGTTTTAAGGGTGACTCAAGGGCGTTTAAAACTAAACGCCTGCCATTTGAGGTATGAAAATGTGGGGTAGTGGTTACAGTATCAGACTAAGATCGAATCCCCCTCTGCCTTGGAAACTCGCTGGGTGACCTTGGGTTGGTATGAGTGTAGTGTTCAAATGGAGAACTGGAGGTCGTTTTTAAAAAGAACACCTTCCATGCAAACGGAAAACTTCGCACGGAGGGGCAGTGAGGTGAATGGAAACATTTCCGTTTCAATGATAGAGAACTTTTCACGGGAGGGAAAGCCCTCACACATGTCCCCTGCCGGTACTCTGGAGCGGAACCACGTCAGGCGTTCGCCCCCTTGCTGTGCAGACGAGCGCAAGCCTTTGTTTCTTTCACGACCAAGCGCTGTCTGGCGGTTATTAATAGCGCGCGCGCTCTCGTCTCTCAGAGGGCCTTTTCTCCTCTTGGCGCCAAAGACGTCATGCCAAGGAAGGGGGGGGGGAAGAAGAGGGGGAGTGAAGAGTACAGAACGTGCTGGTCGCTTCGCGGAAGGGGGAGGAACTCTTTTCCCATCACCCACCGCTCCGAGCTGCGTCAACGGGCGCCGGGAGGGCCGGGTGCAGACGGCTTATTCTCTGCGTGGCCGGCTTCGGGCGCGGTCGGACGTGCACTCAGCGGGCGCTCGTCATGGCCTCCACCGGGACCCATCCGTCTCCAGCTGCCCCTGCGGGCGCTGCCGCCCTCGCCTCAGCACCGCCTCCGCCACCCGCGGCGGGGATCCTCATCGGGGACCGCTTGTACTCGGAGGTCTCGCTGACCATCGACCACTCGCTCATCCCCGAGGAGCGGCTCTCGCCCACCCCTTCCATGCAGGACGGGCTGGACCTCCAGGCCGAGACCGACCTGCGGATCCTGGGCTGCGAGCTCATCCAGTCCGCCGGGATCATCCTTCGCCTGCCGCAGGTCAGCGGAAGCGCGGGCGGGCGCGCACAGAAGGCCCGGGGGGGGGGGGGCGGGGCCGGCGCCGTTGCGGGACGTTTTTTTTTTTGCGCGGCGCCCTGCAGGGGAGGGGGGGGGGGGGGCAGTGGCGAGAGAGCGGTGCGTGTCAGAGCGCTGGAGACAAAATGGCGGCCGAATCGCAGACTTGGGCATAGCTTGACAGGCCAGGCGTCGGCGCCGCTTCCGGGAAGCGAGGGGGAGGAGCGGGCTTCGCTGGAGGGGGCTTTCTGCGCGTGCGCGTCCCCGCCGCCTCCTTGACCTCGCTCATCCTTATCCCCTTCCCCGCTGTGGGGATTATCTTCGCAGGTGGCGATGGCGACCGGGCAGGTGCTGTTTCATCGCTTCTTCTACTCCAAGTCTTTCGTCAAGCACAGCTTCGAGGTGAGTTTTGGGTGAATTTGGGGTGGGGGGGGAGCGGGAGCCCTGGGCAGGAGGTGTGCTGTGGAAGTATTGGACCCACTCTCTTTAGTTTTCTTATCTTGGAAAGTTTGCTGGCCAACATTTTTCTCATTGAGGCAATTCCAGAACACACAGCAGGACTGGTGTTATATCTTATAAATAATAATACTGCCTCGTCAGTCTTTATTGCTTTCAAGCACAAAAGCATAAAACGCATCTCACTGCTGCACTCAGTCCCACTTTCTACCCCTAACATATACAATCCTCTTAAAGGAACGTACACCACAACCAGGCGAGGCTTTTCTCGCAACTCTTTTTGGGGCTTGGCCAAATTATTTTCAACAGCCTTGTAATATGTTGTTCCTGATCCTGGAGGACTGCCTTTTCATGGCAATGGGCTTCTTTTCAGATTGTTGCTATGGCCTGCATCAATCTTGCTTCCAAAATTGAAGAAGCACCTCGTCGCATAAGAGATGTGATCAATGTTTTCCACCACTTGCGCCAGTTGAGAGTCAAAAGGTAAGGTCTGCTCTTTTTTCACAATATGTACTTTAAGTTGTAATGTAACTCAAAGGCTGTGGAGGTTCTCACTCAGTAGGCTTACAGGAATAGGTTGAGTGGCGTGCTCTTTGGGCTGAACGTGGACAGTTGAGCGCTCTGAAGCCAATGCTGATCAGTTTGGTACTGTTGTATTAATGTGAACAAGTGATTATTGCATGAAACATTAATTATTTCTTTGTGGCTGAGTAGGTATTGAACATAGTGGCAAGGGAGTGTTAGGTTTTTCCTGGCACTTGAAGGCTTCTAATTTATCTAGCTTTTTTGCCTGCTACAGTGAAATTTGTGCTAGATGTTAACTCCTAGAGAAATAGCAGTTGGTTCTTAGCATGTCTTGTGTCTGTCTTTGAGCTTGTAGTGGAGCAAGCTGACAGAATCATTTGGTTTACAATATGTACCGTTGTTAGCAGCATCTTCAAGAATGTAAAGAGAATCCTGGAAACAGTATTCAACTAGAGTCACAGGAGCAGCATTTTTTCCATACTGCTTGATTATCTCTAAATCAGACAAGTCTCACTTTGTGTGTGTGTTTAATGGATCCTGTAGAGTTGTCATAAGTTGTGGTTATGTAAAGTAGGGATTGGCATGAACCTAAAAATCCCGGTTTGGGGTGGCCTGTTTGGATCCGCCTTTTTCCCAGGGAGGGTTAAAAGGCTGATAGCTATTAAACCCTTCGGTTTCACTTTTCCCCACTTTCAAGTGTGTGTGGGGGGGCAAAACAGACGGGTTTAATGGCTGGCAGCCATTTAAACCTAATAGGTCAGTTGTGGACCCATGCTGCTCAGCTATTAGGTTTAAATGGCCCAAACTGGACAAACGTCCAGTAAACCTTTGGGGAAGGCAACTTCCCCAAACATCGGTTCAGGGGCTCCGAACCAAGCCATGTTCTTGCTGAATTTTTGGCTTGTGAACCGGTTCTTGCCCATCCCTAATGTAAAGCTTTTGGTAGGGGAAGGTTGGGGGACCTTAGATAAGATAAGATGTTAAGTGACAGAAAGACCAAATAACTGTACTCGAACACTTGCACAAGAGTCTTAATCTAGCATACTTTTTTTAAAAAGGCACTGTTTTTGTCTGCTTGGGTTGTAATTAATGACGTCGTATTTGCATCAGTAAGCATGGACTTGATTTCAGGGCGTTCTGATACATCTATGGAAGCTTGTTAGGGTTTTCTTTGCCATACCTTGTGGACTGATGGGTTACCTTAAATTCCATACATTTGTGTCTTTAGATTTAGATGTTTGTTTGTTGTTCAGAAAAGCGTATTTAGTACAGAGAAACATGTATTCAAATCTCTATTTTAATAGATGTTTCAACATCATTTCAATTAAACAGTTATAATAACCAGGACCTGTTGACTTAGGAATGTGATTTCAAGTTAAGCTTTCAGTTAACTGGTACCTTTTAAATGATTCTTGGCAAGTCAAGTTTTCTAGATAGAATTTGAAGTGTTGTGAGCTAAAAAATCTTATAAAATACAACCTTTTCTCATTAAAAACAAACTGGCATGCCAGATGTACATGTACTGTGTGAGTAATGTCACATTCAAGCAAATATGGGTTTGGGCTTTATTTTTAACTAACCTAAAAGTAAGCATGTGAGAAATTTCTGTAACATTGTATATGAAGCCTTAATACCTGTCTCACAGGTTCAGTTAAAAAAAAATTGGGATATAAGCATTTTTCTGTGCGTGTTAACAGTTTTACAAGTAAATCCATTGTACATGTTATTAACTTTAGCTCTTTTTTCCCTTGCAACCGACTATACAGCGACCAGCTACATTTACCAAAGCCTGGGTGATGTGGAGTGGTTCATAGAGATGAAGCTGTCGTCATGGCAACAGTGAGTGAAGTATCGAAAATCCCCAAGGAGAAGCCAGTGCTCTGAGAATAGGTCACTGGAATCGGGGGACTGACAGGTTGGCCATTGGTGAACCGTTTCGCAGAACTCCTGTATCTTGTGTTAAGCTTTTATCTTTGCTGTCCAGGGTTTTGGAAACTAGCTAAAAATGTATGTTAGAATTTTAAACATTCATTAATTCTTTGTTTTGTCATACATTAATCTGTTTTAATTAGTATGGGGACTCAGTTCATCAAAATCACAATTGTACTGTTAGATATTATTGTCCAGTCATTGCAGATAAATAATTCATTGGATGAAATGGTTATCCAGGATACTTTATGGTTCACTTCTTAGTTACAATTGAGTAGGCATGTAGGTGCAAATAATGTTTGTGAAGGCTTTCAGTGCTAGTACTCTGTTGAATTTACTCTGAAATAATAAATTCAGAGGCATCCTTTTCAATTTATGGATATGATCAGGAAAAAAATGGTTGATTTTAGAAAAGTGTGGGCAGCATCAACTGTCTTTTTCATAACTAATAATTGCATATGAAATTAACTCCTGTCTCATAGGTTCAAATCTTTTAAATACACTGTACGATACAAATTAGCTTCGTTATATTTTGTTTTTGTATGTTTGTGCTGTGTATAGTCCCACAGCTAAGCAGGACATTGAAACGTCACAAGTCAAATGTCAAACATGTGCTGTAAGTGACTTTACTAGAGACCCAGCCATCTCTGTTAAAAGCATATCAGTACTGAGAAGCCATGAGATCCGTGTTACAGTAACTCATGTTTCTTTAAATAGTTGTACTAAATGCATATACAACATTAATCCAGGGAGATGCTAGATAGCTAGTAGGGGGAGACTGATTAATTCTTCCCTTTCCAAATCTGTGCTGTTATTCCCCCACAGTATGTAGCACTGTTCATTTTAGTATGTGATTTTAAAGGTAAGTTCCTTGTGCTGAACAGCCTGCAGCTCAGTTCTCTGCATGTTTATTTGGTAGTAAGGCCCACTGAGGATGAGATTAGTCCCAAGTCATTGCATCCCATCAAGCTCTTGAAGACTGGATTCTGAGTAGATGTGTATGATTGGAGTGTTGGATATCTACCATCAACTTAGTTATTGGTAGACTCTACCTTGTATGAATTTTGCACCGTTAATCCAATTTTGAACCCATTGTAAAAGGAGATAGAGCAGGTTGAGAAAGAAGTACTTTTCTCCCTTTCTCACAATACAAGAACCTGTGGGCACTCAATGAAATTGCTGAGCAGTTGGGTTAGAATGGATAAAAGGAAGTACATCTTCACTCAAAGAATGATTAACACATGGAATTCACTGCCACAGGAGGTGGCGGCAGCTATAAGCATGGACAGCTTCAAGAGGGAATTAGATAAGCATATGGAGCAGAAGTCCATCAGTGGCTATTAGCCACAAGGTATAGATAGGAACTCTCAGTCTGGGGCAAGTGATGCACAGTATTCTTGGTGCTTGGAGGGGGCAACAGTGGGAGGGCTTCTAGTGTCCTGGCCCCACTGCTGGACCTCCTGATGGCACCTGGTGTTTTTGGCCACTGTATGATAGTGTGTTGGACTAGATGGGCCATTGGCCTGATCCAACATTGGCTTCTCTTATGTTCTTATGAGGTTTGGGGCAATTCTTTGTTTCCTCAGAATAGGGCTCTTCAAACTGTATCTTGTTTCTGGCATCTTAAAATTGTAGTTGTTAAGCTTATATTACAACAGCTCAATCAAAACCAACTCCAGTGGTCATCCTGTGGCATGTTCATAATGTGCAAGCAAAGCTCTTGTAGGCTCTGTTGTAAATGTATATGCTGACTGGAACGTTAAGATTAGTACAAATATCATATTTAATATTTAGAAGCCTTTGGTTAAACATAGAATTACCAGCAGATTTAGCATACCAAGCTATCCAGAAGTATGCACAGTAATATGGAATGGTATAGATGGAAAAGCCTGCCATGTGTTAAGGGCTAATATAAATCCATAAGAATTTAGAGGCTGGAGCCTAAGCAGGAAGTGCCTAATAGTCTACTATCTTAAAATGATTGTTGCTTCTGCTGTTCCAGAAATAAAGTGCATGTGGGAATCAATATGGGAAAACTAGATAAAATCAGATACTAGTATTAAATAGTGAGTGTTTAAGCTATCAGGAAAAATTGTAGGTAAGCCAAGGCTGATATTTTTCTTAATGTTCATCCTTCTAGGAATGTCCCTTGACTATTTTAGGGGTGGCATCTACCATATAATTTTGTGTCAAAATCCTCTTAATAAAGTTAAGAGTTATAGTATTGAAATTTTGGTGGAACTAATTTTGCAGTAAAGTAAGCAAGGTTGGATGAATAAGCTTCACTTGTGTGATCCCCCCCCCCAAGTTGGAGATTTTTAATAATTTAGTTTGAGGATCTAAAAAGCACATTTCTAAGTAAATCGGATCACGGAAATATCTATATGGAACATATTAATATGATCCCCAGAAAAATAAATGCCTTTTACGATGATTGGTAACCTGAACTGTTTCACTTTTTAAAAGTGAAGAGTAGCTGACATGTCTATGCACAAGAATAAAATGTTACAGTACTTCAGACATTCAGAACTGTGCAGACTTTTCCTTGCTGTGAAAAATGCATAGTGAAATCTCAGTTAACTAGCTGGATATCATTTAATACACAAGTGTTACAAGTTTGGTAGTCAGAAAATATGCTTGAAGTGAAAATGTCAGCTTAAATTGCACAATTGTAGCTTGAGCACAAGGCCAATTTTTAATTGGTCTAGAATCTCATAGAATATTTATAATCTCTTACTATTTAATGTTTAGTATTAGAGTTCTTATTAGAGAAGTATTTATGTCCTCCTGTAATACCCTCAAATGGACAAGAGATGTTTATTGCGGTTAAGTTGTAATTCAACTGTGTGTAATTCTCAGACCTGGACTTTTTATTGAAGTTGTTTTGTCAAGAGTTGATGGCTGAGAATGTCATCTTATCTTTAAGAAGCAAATTATCCTAAGTCTTTGCATGCTTATAAGCAGACTGACTTCAGTGACCCTAGAATGGTGTGACTGCATAGGGTAAGCATTGCACTGTAAATGCGATACATTTTCAGTTATTCTCCCAGTCCAGTTAAGTGAGCCTTTACTGGGAATGCCGTGTAAACAAATACCTTCATACGGAACAGGAGCTAAAGCATTATCTGAATCTAAATACATGGTAATTGTATTTGATTTACGCTGTGTAATCCACCTTGAGTCTTTGTGAGAAAGGTGAGCTATAACATAAATAAATCCAGGATAAAAAGGATGGTAATGTATTTCCTTTTGAGAGCCCCTTAATTTTCATACTCCGGGTAGAGTTCCGGACTTCAAATGCAATAGGCAGTACAGGTGAGGAATAAACTTCTATTGAGAAAGCCAAGATGGTTTTTGCATGCATCTCAGTGTCTTGGAGCAGGTGCATGAAGGTGATTATGGTAGCTATTGCAGCCTTAAAACATTTTATTTTTTGCACACGAAACCATTCCTTTGCATTATAGTTTCCCATCAATTAAACAAATTTAATTTTAATAGTATAAGATGCTGCTTCTTTTGACTGATGAAACAGATGAAATATTACACAACTGTCTGATCTTCTACTCAGTTTATGCTACATGAATGGGATGAAACAGGTGCACCTACTTGAGCTTTAAGGAATAGGGAAGAAAAAAATTACAGTGCCTGAGGGAAAAAAATTCTGTCTCTTTTTAAGTGGGGTTTGTGTATTTTTAAATTCACTATCTGTATGTATGCTTAGGGGGGAATTATTTTAAAATAGGTTGCTCTACACATGGTTTTGCTCAGTATCCTGTGTTTAACACATTTATTTTACAGATGTAAAATTTGCATTGGTCATTGAAGATAAATGCACCACTGTGTTCCTTTACAGGGAATGGAATCTTCCCATAAGAGACCACTCGAAGTTTCTTGGGATTCAACTTTGTAGGTCAACTTCCTCTTTAAAACGAAGTGAAACATCTTTCCATGGCATGTTCTGAATGCTGGCAGGAAAATTGTTTTCACTCTTAACAAGTAAACATAGTTGTATCTAGTAAATTAGCTTAACTTGGACAGCACAAGATTAAAGCTTACACTTGTTTGCAGGAGTTCAAAATCTGGTTTCTGTTGCCATTAGTTGGTTGGAAGGGAAAACAGAGAAGGCGCAGTCTTCAGTATACAAAACAGTTTTGACTCTATTTCTTACAAACTGTAGGACTCCAAGCCCATTGATACTTGATCAGAACTACATAAACACCAAAAATCAAGTAATCAAAGCAGAAAGGAGGGTGCTGAAGGAATTGGGATTTTGTGTTCATGTCAAGCATCCTCATAAGGTGAGTTGGTTTTTCTTCTGTATCAACCTGTGTGTATGTCTTGGTGAGAACTGAGGTAAAATAAGCCCAGTTATGTGAATGTTGGAGTGTGCAGAGGGTGAACGATGTAGCATTCGTGATTATAAGTTGTCCATTTGTGTGAGGATTTGATTTGGGGGTGACTGGAGTGGATGTGTTGGAAGATGAGAACTTCTTGACTGTTCACTTATGCTCCATATGGGTGAAGAAAGGAAATACTTTGTAGGTGTTAATACTCAAGATCTTTCTATTTTTCTTCTTCCTTCAGATAATTGTTATGTATTTGCAAGTCTTAGAATGTGAACGTAACCAAACTCTCGTCCAGACAGCCTGGTAAGTTATTCTTTTCTGTCTCTCTTAGCCAGGAAAATAGTAACAGAAAAAAACAAACAAACAAACTTGATGTCTCATAAGTCAAACAATAAAGTGTAAGTTAAAACAGTGCCTTTCAATATGTGGTGTTGTTGCTTGTTTTCTGTTTACTATTTTCATGGCTTTCATAAAATATTTTCTTGGAGAACTCAATTTAACTTTGTTCTTTTTTCTACTCTTTGATTAAAGGGTAGCCCCTGATGGTAAGTCATAGAACTCTGCTCTCTGCACCACAGCTCATGACCCAAGGATGGCCTGATTGGCTGCCTCTCTCTCCAGCCAATCCAGTGCAAGCTCTCATCCGAGATTTACTGAAGTGGTCCATGTCCATCTGGCAGCATCTTCTAGTTCTGTCGGGGTGTCAAAAGGATTTGTATATTTGCTTCTAGAAGTACCTCTGTTCAACATACATGTCATGAAATGTATATTTGTTTTCCTGGTTATTGTAGCTATGTGGCATGACCTATTGACATAAACTGGATAGACTCTGGTTTTCACCAGCCTGAATTCTTCATTAACTTATATTTCCAGTTTTATCTAAATTTTCGATTTTAAAGAACTTTGGTGCATGCAAATGGCTCGCACATATCTAATTATTTATTGTCTGTATATTGAGCATAGTTTTCTACATAGCAAATATCCACTGTAGGTCAATTGGCATGTTTGAAGGTTCTCTCCCCCCCCCCCCCCCCTTGTAATCTGAAACTTTTATTACTAAATTCTGAAATAATTGCAGTTTTCAGTAACATCATATTGGATGGGAAAGAATGCTTGTTAGTTCGTGGCTCTACCATGTGTATGTTGCAGTTATCTGTACTTCAGGTTGGTATATTGTCATTCATTTTGCAAAGTAGTGCCAGAATCTAGAACTGTAACCCTGCAGTCAGTAATTTGTTGATAAAATATCTAGGGCATGATGCTGACAAACTCAAGCACTTACATGTCCTGTTGTCTTCAGTAAGACAGTTAAATATGCCCATGAATCATTCCCCTAAAATCAGTCAGATGGAAAGTGCTAAACTATGTCTGCATCATGCCATGTAGATTTTGCTTGTAATGTCACATGAGGGATACATTTAGATATTTGCAAATATGCTGTAGAAGGTATGTATGAATTTGATTGTTGTAAGGATTAACCTTTAAATGATTTAAGTTATTATGGGTGTTCACTGGGTGGGACTATTCTCTCCTCATGGACAAATTTTGTAATTAAATGAAACTTTAGATGACGGACACTTCATAAAATATCTATACATATGTAATAGTTAAAGCTATAATTCATCTTGGGGTTTTAGAGATGAGACAGCTTGATTATCGCAGAGGTCCAGGGGCATTTGAAGCAGTTTTGTTTAAGGACTATCATTTGGCACATTAAAGTCTAAATTACTGAAATGAAGAAAAAATAATAAAGTAGATTGAGTCTCCAACTTGGTATGCTTGCTCTCATAGTAGACTTTAGAACTTGAGATAAATTCAGGCTCATTTTTTTATAGGAATTACATGAATGACAGCCTTCGAACCAATGTGTTTGTCCGATTTCAGCCAGAGACAATAGCCTGTGCTTGTATTTACCTTGCTGCTAGAGCTCTTCAGGTAAGTATTTATGCATAATTCATAGACATACTGTGTTGGATCCAGACTTCATATTCTTGGGGCAGAATAATTTCTTGCCTTCCCCTTCCCACTGCAGCCTACTGATCTCCTTGAAATGCTCCTGAGGGTATAGGGAAGCCTGAATGGGAAGAAGGGGAAATTGGCAGAAATTGCCAACTTAGTATGGATCCAATCCAGCCCCATAGCCAGAAATTTTGGATTGGTGGGATGGAGAAATTTCGTGGGGCAGCAGAGGGGTAAGCACATGCATTCCCTGAACTCCAAGCAGCGATTTTGCTGTTTGAAGTACAGGCGCATGCAGCTGCCCCTCTCACTCACCTCCTGCAAGATTTAAAGGGCCCTCCAGCTGATCGGCGGGCCATGTGCTCCTGCCAGTCAGGAGGAAGGGTGAGAGGGGCAGCAACATTTGTGGGGCGTGCCTCACATTTGAGGGGGCAAAGCCCCAAAATTCCCCACTGTAGCTATGGGCTTGATCTAATCCTTATTTTCTAAAACCTTGAGTGAATGTTCAAATTTGTTAAGCTTACAGTGTTTTCTCTTCTAGATTCCTTTGCCCAACCGTCCTCATTGGTTCTTGCTTTTTGGTACTACTGAGGGAGATATTCAGGAGATATGCTTAACAACTCTTAAGCTGTATACTAGAAAGAAGGCAAGTGTCCTAACTAAATCAAACATGTAGTTGCATGGAAGAGATGATGAAATGGTTCTCTAATGTTATGTGAACTGATTTCCAAATACTTTGTGTTTCCTTGTAGCCTAACTATGAGTTGCTTGATAAGGAAGTAGAAAAGAGGAAAATGGCACTACAGGAAGCTAAACTAAAAGCAAAAGGATTAAACCCTGATGGAACACCAGCTCTTTCAACATTGGGAGGTTTTTCACCTGCTTCTAAGCCCTGTAAGTGCTCTGATTATGATTTTTTAAAAAACCATGTTTCTGTTGATCTAATGCCTCAAATATGATACCTGAGTTTTTAAAAGGTGTAGTTTATGTAATTGTCTATTGTTCTGACACCAACTTGGAGGATTTGTCCTGAATCAGTGAATTTTAGCTGTCATACCTAATTCTGACTTGGACAAAACAATTGCCGTAGCTTTACACAGTGAAGGCTTTTGTGGCATGGGGGTAGCTGCTGCCAAAGCAACATTTAAAAAAACCTGCACAGCTAATCAAAACTTCAATAGCCATTAAGAAGACTTGTTGGGCAAAAGCTCAGCATGGCCCCAACACGCTTCCTAAAAACACTTGGAGGGTGCCCTGGCAACCACTGCCACCATGTTGGGAATACCTACTTTTAGTCTCCTGTTTTGGTCTGGATTAGTAGCATCTTTACCCAAAAGACTGGATACCACTTAGATTTTCTCCCTTAATGCTGTCGACAGGAATGGAATGTTATGGTGCTTCATCTGGAAAACAGTTTTTTGGGTATTAACATTGATTAAGAGTGTTTCATCTTCACTTTTGTTTCAGAGAGACAGGTTTGGCAACATTTTGAGCTTAAATTGAATTACAATCTAAGAGAAAACCAGTTCTATTCCCTTAAGGGTTCAGTATGTATATGAAAATATATGCAAAGCTGCCTTATCAGACCATTGGTCAAAGTCAGTATTGTCTATTCAGTCTTGCAGTGGTTTTCCAGCGTCTCAAGCAGAGGTCTTTCACATCACCTATAATCTGATCCTCAACTGTATGTGCCACGCACTGACCGTGGGACTTTTGCATGTTGGCTATATTAATGCAGTGGAAATTTTGTTGTTCAGTCGCACAGTCGAGTCCAACTCTTCACGACCCCATGGACCAGATCACGCCAGGCCTTCCTGTCTTCCACTGTCGTCTGAAGTTTCCTCAATTTCATGTTCATTGCATCTATGACACTGCCTAACCATCTCATCCTTTGCCGTCCCCGTCTTCTTTGACCTTCAGTCTTTCCCAGCATCAGGGTCTTCTCCAGTGAGTGCTCCCTTCTCATTTGGTGGCCAAAGTATTTGAGCTTCAGTTTCATTATCTGGCTTTCCAGGGAACAGTCAGGGTTGATTTCTTTTAGGATTGACTGATTGGATCTTCTTGCAGTCCAAGGGACTCTCAAGAGTCTTCTCCAGCACCATAGTTCAAAAGAATCTATTCTTTGGCGCTCGGCCTTCCTTATAGTCCAACTCTCACAGCCATACACAACTACTGGGAATACCATTGCTTTGACCATGCGCACTTTTGTTGCCAGGGTGATGTCTCTACTTTTTATCATGCTGTTGAGGTTCGCCATCGCTTTCCTCCCAAGGAGCAGGCGTCTTTTAATTTCATGGCTGCTGTCACAGTCTGCGGTGATCTGGGATCCCAGGAACGTGAAGTCTGTCACTACTTCCACGACTTCCCCTTCTATTTGCCAAGGAGTGATGGGGCCGGATGCCATGATCTTAGTTTTTTTGATGTTGAGCTTCAAGCCCACTTTTGCGCTCTCCTCTTTTACTCTGAGCAAGAGGCTCTTTAGATCCTTTTCACTTTCAGCCATTAGAGTGGTATCATCTGCATATCTGAGGTTGTTGATCTTTTCCCCAGCAATCTTAATTCCCGCTTGTGATTCATCCAGGCCAGCATTTCGCATGATGTACTCTGCATATATATTAAATAAGCAAGGTGACAGTATACATCCTTGTCGTACTCCTTTTCCTATGCTGAACCAATCAGTTGTTCCGTATCCGGTTCTAACTGTCGCTTCTTGGCCCTTATACAGGTTTCTCAAGAGACATGTGAGGTGGTCTGGTACTCCCATCTCTTTAAGGACCTGCCATAGTTTGTTGTGATCCACACAGTCAAAAGCTTTAGCATAGTCAATGAAGCAGAAGTAGATATTTTTCTGGTACTCTCTTGCTTTCTCCATAATCCAGCGAATGTTGGCAATTTGATCTCTAGTTCCTCTACCTCTTCGAAACCCAGCTTGTACTTCTGGTAGTTCTCTATCCACGTACTGTTGAAGCCTAGCTTGTAGGATCTTGAGCATGACCTTGCTAGCGTGTGATATGAGTGCAATTGTGCGATAGTTTGAACATTCCTTGGCGTTGCCCTTCTTTGGGATTGGAATGTATACTGATCTTTTCCAATCCTGTGGCCACTGTTGCGTTTTCCAAATTTGCTGGCAAATGGAGTGCAGCACTTTAACAGCATCATCTTCTAAGACTTTGAATAGCTCAGCTGGAATACCATCACCTCCACTAGCTTTGTTGTTAGCAATGCTTTCTAAGGCCCATTTAACTTCACATTCCAGGATGTCTGGCTCAAGGTCAGTGATTATACCGTCGTGTTTGTCAAGGACATTGAGGTCTTTCTTGTATAGTTCTTCTGTGTATTCTTGCCATCTTTTCCTAATCTCTTCTGCTTCTGTTAGGTCCCTACCGTTTTTGTCCTTTATCATGGCCAGCTTTGCATGGAACGCTCCCTTGATTTCTCCAATTTTCTTGAAGAGATCTCTAGTCCTTCCCATTCTATTGTTTTCTTCTATTACTTTGCACTGTTCATTCAGGAAGGCCTCCTTATCTCTCCTTGCTGTTCTCTGGAAATCTGCGTTCAGTTGGGTAAATCTTTCCTTTTCGCCTTTGCCTTTCGCTTTCCTTCTTTCCTCTGCTATTTGTAAAGCCTCATCAGAAAGCCATTTTGCTTTCTTGCATTTCTTTTTCTTTGGTATGGTGGTGATTGCTGCCTCCTGTACGATGTCACGAACCTCTGTCCATAGTTCTTCAGGCACTCTATCTATCAAATCCAGACCCTTGAATCTATTCTTCACCTCTACTGTATATTCATCAGGGATGCGATCTAGGTCAAACCTGAATGGCCTCGTGGTTTTCCCGATTTTCTTCAGTTTAAGTCTGAATTTTGCAATGAGTAGCTCATGATCTGAACCACAGTCAGCTCCAGGTCTTGTTTTTACTGACTGGATAGAGCTTCTCCATCTTTGACTGCAAATTATATAGTCAATCTGATTTCGGTGTTGCCCATCTGGTGATGTCCATGTGTAGAGTCGCCTCTTAGGTTGTTGGAAAAGGGTGTTCGCTATGACCAGTGTGTTCTCTTGACAAAACTCTGTTAACCTTTGCCCTGCTTCATTTTGCTTTCCAAGGCCAAACTTGTCTGTTATTCCGGTTACCTTTTGACTTCCTACTTTAGCATTCCAGTCCCCTATGATGATGAGGACATCATTTTTTGGTGTTAGTTCTATGAGGTGTTGTAGGTCTTCATAGAACCGGTCCACTTCAGCCTCTTCTGCATCAGTGGTTGGGGCATAGACTTGGATTACTGTGATGTTGAATGGTTTGCCTTGGAATCGGACAGAAATCATTCTGTCATTTTTGAGATTGTATCCCAGTACTGACTTTTGCACTCTCTTGTTGACTATAAAGGCCACACCATTTTTTCTACGAGATTCCTGGCCACAGTAGTAGATATAATGGCCTTCTGAGTTAAATTCGCCCATTCCTGTCTGCTTTAGTTCACTGATTCCTAAGATATCCATGTTCAGTCTTGCCATCTCATTTTTGACCACGTCAAGCTTACCTTGATTCATAGATCTTACATTCCAGGTTCCTATGTAGTATTGTTCTTTGCAGCATCGGACTTTCCTTCCACCATCAGACACATCCACAACTGAGTGTCCTTTCGGCTTTGGCCCAGCCACTTCACTCTTTCTGGGGTTACTTGTACTTGCCCTCTGCTTTTCCGCAGTAGCATATTGGACACCTTCCGACCTGAGGAGCTCATCTTCCGGCATCATATTTTTTAGCCTTTTGATACTGTCCATGGGGTTTTCTTGGCAAAAATACTGGGGTGGGTTGCCATTTCCTTCTCCAGGGGATCACGCTTGGTCTGTGGAAATAGGCTGTAGAAAATACACATTTGAAATACTATCTTAGATTTCATTGGGTGTAGCCATTTGATACAGCCTAGTTGTCACTCATGATGTTTGTGGTAAATTATGTCAGCAAATACACTGGAGTAAAAGGTCAACGTTTTGTCACTTGAGCATACTTATAAAGAACCGTTTTGAACCTTAGGTTCTCCAAGAGAAATAAAAGCAGAAGAGAAATCTCCAGTGTGTATCAACGCAAAAACTATCAAAAAGGAACCAGAAGATAGACAAGTGGCTTCCAAGAGCCCTTACAATGGGTAAGTATCTTTTACTACAGATAGCCAGAGGTTTGCTTATGCCATTCAGTCGAGGCTTTTTATCTGCTATAGCCTATCCAAGTAACTGATCTGGTGTGTGTTTGTTTTTTTTCTGTTCTCTCAAGTATGAGAAAAGAGAGCAAGAGAAGTAGAAGCAGCAGAAGTGCTAGTCGGTCAAAGTCGAGAACAAAGTCACGATCTAGATCCCACTCTGCAAGGAGACAGTGAGTGATACCGTTAACTTATAATTGGAAAATATGTCACAATACTCCCATTTTCTAAATATTATGATGTAGGAGGCTGTATGGCATTAAGATAAAAACACCTTGATGAATGCCTTAAGGTCATTATTTCATTTGTAATCTGAAAAGCAAGTGACGTGGTCCTTCCATTGAACTTACTGAGGCTGCCAAGTATTTTATTACCATGAAATATCCCAGAATGGTCACAATCTATAATCTCTTGAAAACCTATAGTGCTGTGGAGTATAGTTTAAAAGTAGTATTACAGTTGCTCTAAATAGAAGAGTTTCTCTAGAGATGGAAGACTCTTGTGAATTTGCTGTGTAGCGTGGCCTAGCTACCATTGGGCCAGCGTGCTTAACCCTTCGTATCGTACTTAAAATATCACACGAAAGACGTGTTCTTGTGAATTTGTTTCATAAATATAGTTGTGGGTTTGATGAAGCTAATTGGTTGTAAACAGTTTAGAATAAAGCTAAAGCATCTACGCTAAAGCATTTAAACACGGTAAACAGGTTTATTTATCAATCACATTTATCCTTTACAAAATTTAAAGCAGTTGTAACTTCTCTGTTTCCCAAAGTTAAATAAGTGGGAATTCCTGAAATGAATCATAGAAATTAATGGTTTTCCTATAGGCAAACAATTGAAGTGGCCTGATTATTGGTAGTTTACTTAGTGATAGGGGTTTGATTTAATAGAAAATTGGTAACGCTCACTCGTCTGAATATTTTTTAACAGCCATGACACATTTAAAGATGTAATAGATCTTGTTGTCTCTTAAGTTACAACAATAGGCGGAGCCTGTCCGGAACCTACAGCTCCAGATCCAGAAGCCGATCACGGAGCCACAGTGGCAGTCCTCGGAGGCATCATAATCACGGATCTCCTCACCTAAAACCCCCCAAGCATAGCAGGGAAGAGCTGAAGGGGGCAAACAGACACGGTCACAAACGGAAAAAGTCACGCTCACGTTCCCAGAGCAAATCCAGGGATCATTCAGATGTGGCCAAGAAACACCGGCATGAACGGGGACACCACAGGGACAGGCGTGAACGGTCTCGCTCATTTGAGCGATCACACAAAGGCAAACACCACGGCAGCAGCCGTTCAGGACATAGCCGGCACAGGCGTTAACTGTGAAGCAAACTGCCTTAGTTGTGCTTGCCTATTATACGACGTACGGGACTGTGTGAAACTTGAAGTCAATTAGGATTTGATTTGAAGCCCAACACCTTCAATATGTAGGACATTTTTTTTTCTTTTTGAAGAACTGTGTTGAATTCTTGCACATCAAACACCTTAGCAGTATCTGACTGAGTTAAAATATTGATCAGGTTAAATTGTATGTGTTAGTTGTGTATCTGTATGAAAACTGGAGAATTGTTTCTGTACAAATGTACCTTATTTTTATACAAAACATATTGCAGACACTTCTATTTAAGTATAGTTATTTGTTTAAAATAATGGTGGATACTTTCTTACACTGGTTTTAGTCTGCATGTGTAAAAAATCTTTTTTACAAAAATAATAAAATATACAGCTCTTTTTACTACCTTGCTGAATACCTCATTAAACTATTTTATGCCGAAATGTTTGAAGTTTTTCATAACAAATAACTTTAATGCATCTATATCCTTCCTATTCAGCTTCAAAGAACGCTTGAGCATTGAAAGAAGTCTGCTGAGCAGTGGAAGTCTTGATTTAAATGCTACTGAAACATCTTGTAAGGTATTGTGATGTCACCAGTCTCTTTTCTAATTCTCTTGATGAGCTTTTTGAAATGCCATACAGAGGCTCAGAGCCTGTGATGGAATTCAAGAACACCATAGGACAGCTAATATATAACACCATGGGGTGGGGAATCTAACCACAGCTGCTTTGCCCTTCTGAAAGCTGCTGGTGGAAGGGCTTTCTCTAATCTAGACGACTTCGAAGAGATGAAGAGTAGGCCTGCAAGGTCAAGGAGACATCCCACATTATGACTCCTGTACGTCTTCAGTTGGAGTTTGCTTCAGGCAGCAGCGCAGCAGCCAAAATGGGGAACATCTTTATACCTGCAGGTGATTAGTGAGGATTTTTTTCATAAAAAACAAGAACCTTACGAAGTTACTGTACAGCTGTCTTCTTCACATAAAACACTAAAGATGGGGTTACATCACAAAATAACGTGGCCTTCTAGGATGAAGAAGCAAAAGCTGCAACTTGAGACCAACCCTCCCTAGTATATTCAAGTCTTCAGCAAACAGTCTGAAACATACACTCCTTTTGTTTTAGAAAATCCAGCCTGATGGAAAGCACTGGGTTTGTAACCAGATGTGTTGATGGAAACAAATGCATTGAATTAATTCCAAAAAGAAAGGTGTGTGTGTTGTGACACTTGGTATTAAGCTTTCCAGACCTTTATTAACTCTTTAACATGTGAGAGCCGCTTAAGGCGTTAACTGATGTGGTTATACAGGAAAGCTCTTCATTTAGACAATGTTGCCAAGCAGACTGTGCAATTCAGGCCTGCCTTCAATCAGAGGTGTGATTCTCGCTGGTTTGCAGAATTAGATCCCTGTTTTGTGAGCCCTGACTTCCTAGAGATGAAAGGTGTCACAATAGATCCTTGTTATAAAGTAAGCCTGTCATTACGTTATAACCAGCAGCACCATCGCTGCTTGCCTTTGGAGTCCCCGTGCAGCAAGGAGCATTCAAATACAGCAAGCTGTAACTAGTGTAGGTAGCAGCAGTTGTCTGGTGTTTGTACCTCCTTGCTGAGGTGTTCTGGTCAGAGGTGAGTTGCAGTTCCTGGACTGGTCAGAGGAGAGTGTGGATTAGATCCCAGCAGGAGTGGATAAGACTAGACAAGCAGGTGGGGCCTACCTTCACATGATCACATGAAGCAGCCTGATACTGAATCAGACCATTGCTTCCATTAAGGTCAGTATTGTCAACTTGGTCTGTCAGTGACTCTCTGGGTTCTCAGGTAAAGGTCTTTCACATCATCTGCCACCTGATCCTTAACTGTAGATGCTGGGGATTGAACCTAAGACCTTCTGCACGCCAGGCAGATGCTCTACCACTGAGCCACAACCCCTCCCCACTTCTGTGCCACCTCGGTGTATGGCAGTTTGGGGAGAGGAGAGAGAGAACCTGTCTGTGAATATGGGGGAGTGCATGCAGCTGCCCCATGGCAGGAGAGGGTGCGTCTGCCACAGGCCACATACTAGGGGAGTAGTTGGGTGGGAGCGGGGAAGGGTGCCTTTGTGTTTATTTCTCTCGTCTCTCATCTCCAAATCTGATTGTGAAGCTTGCCATTTATTGGTGGGTTTGTAATCTTGTGCAAAGGCTCATCTTGACCCCAAGCCTTGTTGGAACATTTTGGGATATGCATAGGATCAGGTAAACCATAGTGTAGATATGGTGGAGTGCTTCTTCACATTTGAAGTAAGTGAAGAAATGCACACAACCGTGTAAAGGGAGAGCCTCTTTGAAGTCCAAAGTCAGCTTTATTGTACCACCCACCTCAACAGGAAAAAGATCAGGTTCTTATACAATCATGCCGATTAATGCTGCTCCAAGCCCAGCAGAACTGTATAGCCCAAGTAATAAATGCCTTTGTTTATGGGAACATGGCAAGCAGCCATGCTCAGTGAGTTTTGAGTCTTAATAATGTGTGCTGTCTTCATTGCTTAGTGGCTGGGAGAACGGTTGAAATATTGCAGTGTTAGTGGACTTAACTTTGGCTTCGGTTTCTAAAACCATACAGATCCCCAGATTTGCAAGTGATCAATCTGTACAGGGGAAGAAGCAGATACTGAACTTTCTTTCAGCTGTTTACCACTAGAGGACAGTGTTTACTAACTGAAACTGAAGATATGTCTCACTATGGACTGTAATAGGTATTATTCTGCAAACCAAAAACCATCTTACATCCCTGAGCATGCTAAAGCTATCAAACGGTTAAGCACATGTAGAAAGCCACAAATACTTAAAATAAGAGGTTTAAGGGTGTAGCTTCCTGTTGTACGTGGTGTTCTCAGGTGGGGTTTTGGTTTTTTGTTTTGTTTTGCTTGGAGGCCTGTTGAAAGGTGCCTACAGAGGCCAAATTAGAACCTGCAATCCATAAATTAGAGCTCTGAGAAATCCAGGAATAAGAGCTTTGGTGTTGAGGTAGCCGTGTGCTCGGAGGAGTTTTCGGAACATTTCTTTGTTCAGGTGATGGCCAGTGGCTTTCCTGTTGCGATCACGCTGCCACCCTCAAAAACAGATTCCCCATCATTTCTGAACTTCCCCGGGGTGCTGGAAACAATAGACCTTTGGTCAGATCCTGCTACAGTTGGTTATGTCTGTAGCAACCAGGGTCCTCTCCAGAACCCAAAGCTGCTAAGACAAGGGACACAGAGCACAAGACTTACACAAGAGGTGTCTGCCACCAAGTCACTTTTTAGTTCCTAGTCCACCTGGAGTAAAGTAACTAGAAATCTCCAGGGTCCTCACAGGAACACAATTCCAAGAACCAAGCTTTGCAGCTTCCACTACAAGGCTTGACAAAGAAACACAATTGGTAGTAGGAGACCAAGTAGTCTAAGACACAGGATTAAGGCTTTGAAAACTCTTGAGGCTCAGTAACTCAAACAAGGTAAAAATATAATTTCTTTATTTAAATAAAATTGTGCAAAGTTATAAAACACGAGACTTTAGGTAGTGAGGGAAACAAAACAAAATCTAAGCATATCCAGCATAGCTAATTACTTACAAGCAGCAGGCAAAAGGTTTTGCTCATCTCAGAGTCCAAGGTGCAAAAACAAAGTCCAAGGCACGGAACAAAGTCCACCCAGCATCTCCTCTTAGGATGGTAAAGTATTTCAAGGCATTATGGAGGGTTGCTTTGAGTATTGACCAGGCCTGGCCAAAATACCCAAAGAATCCACACCGGTTACCAAAGGCATAGGTTCTTATAGAAAAGGGGGGTCACGAGGGGCTCCAGGCGGGTAGCCACTCACAATCCCTTCAAAGTGATGTCACAAGTGCCAGTAACTAGGGTAACAAAGGATATCCCATAATACTTGTTGTTCAGTTCTGGGGAATCGAAAGTTATTTCTAGAAGATAACTCGACTCCCTCCTCCCATCACAGGTGCAAACAGTTAGGAATGTTACTAATGAATTAATGGCCGCCAAGGCCACACTGCTAAGGGTTTGCAGCTGGTACTGCCATGGGAGTGAAGGTCATAATTCTCCCGTTATCAGAGCCATGCAGGTCTTAAAGGGAACTAAGAGGCACCAAGAGACTTGCAGGCTCCTCTGGGACCCCAAGATTTACAGCAGCATAGTTAGAAAGCACATTCCAGGCCTAACAAGAACCCAGAATCCTCTTTGCCTAAGAGTTTGGTCAAGCAAACTGCAAGCAGACAAAAATGGAGGCTATTTTGCATTACAATGTCATTCTGCTATGGGTGGTGTAGAGGAACCAACCTCAGTATTTTCATTTGGGAAGGGAAGACCATTGCTCATTGGCATATGACACTTGCACACCAATCTTGAATATATTGTGGTGTATTAATAATGGCATGTTTTTGGCATTGTCCTCCAAGGTCACAGACAGAAACGGTCTTTCATCTGTGGCCTTAGGTCCTTTTTATCTAGAGGACCCAGAGACTGAATGTGGACATCCTGTGGGCAAAATCATTAAGCCAGAGTCTCTAGCCTACTGGCAGAACAAAATCCACCAGGCTGGCTTCTAATTAACCAGCAATTCAGAGGATTTGGACTAAGAAGACCTGAACGGTTTTAATGCTTTGTCACTCTGTTAACCACTGTATTGTTTAACCTTTTTAAAAACAATGCACCCTCAAAGTCACACCTTTCCATACTATCAGCTGCTGCAGATGTAAGCTGTGTACACGTCCATAAGCCAGTTAAAAACACATTGTGCCTAGCTCTTCAACAAGTCTGTGATAGCATCTTTCTCCCCCTCCCCAGTATCTGGCTTAATATTGACAAAAAAAGAAACTTGCCCTTGTGTAATATGACAGCTGAGCCAGAGATTTCACAGCTTTGTTCTGGTTTTTGCAGTTGCAGCACATAGTAAGGTAAATTCCCAGAAATGAAAGCCATCAGTTGGAATCACACATTACCAGCAGTCATGAGTTCACTGGCTGAGTAGTCTGTAGTCTTTGTGCAGTCAATAAGAGGTCGCAGCCACAGATCACACCTCCTGATAATGCAGGAGACTTAGCAGTTTTTTAGGGAAAAATTAATTCAGCCAGAATGATACAGGATACAAAATTTACAGGGCCATTGCTTGACAACAACAAACACTTGAAGAAAAATTGTCCAATTATGATAAGTGCTAAGAGGGTGAAATGGATTTTTCAACCAGGATTGTTCTTGCCGCCTTCTTCCATTCCACTGTACAAACTTAATTCATTACATAAGCT